ACAATAACAAAAGATCTTTATTTATTTTTTTACGAAAAGGTAATTTGATACGCAATATTTCAAGTAAAAAAAAATTAAAGCCTTATTTGGAAAAGGTATTAATGCCAAGTAATTTCCTAATGGTTTAAAACATATCCTCTAGAAGAGGCTTAGTAAAAATATCAGCTAGTTAATTTTTCGTGTTAACAAAAGATAATTCAGTGTCGCCCTTAAGAACATTGTCTCTAATAAAATGATGCTTGATATCTATATGCTTTGCTCTAAAATGATGCACAGGGTTTTTAGAAAGACATATAGCACTAGAATTATCACAGAAAATTTTAACAGGTTTAAACAAAAGATCATAATCAGTTAATGGATGAATCATCCAAAGTAGTTGAGCACAACATTGCCCAATGGAAATGTATTCATCTTCAGTTGTATACAGTGCAACTAATCCCTTTTTCTTACTGTTCCAGAAAAAAAATGATTTGCCAAGCAATTGACATGTTCCACTTGTACTTTTCCTGTTATCTTTATCACCGGCAAGGTCTGCATCTGAAAAACCTTCAAGCTTAAAACTATTAAGACGTGAATACCACAATCCATGTGAATAGTTCCAATAAGGTATCTAATAATTCGTTTCACGACAGTTAAATGTGACTCCTTTGGAGCTGATTGGATCCTAGCACATCTGCATACACTAAATATTATGTCAGGATGACTCGCAGTTAAATAGAGTAGAGATCCGATCATTCTATGATATTTTGATTCATCAACTGATTTTCCTTCTTCATCTTTGTCAAGAGATGTAGCCGGACTCATGGGAGTCCCAATTGCCTTGGCATTGTCCATTCCGAATTTTTGAATTAGCTCCTTTGTGTATTTTGTCCGACAAATAAAAATCTCTTCATCTGATTGATGAATTTGGAGTCCAAGGAACAAAGTTAATTCTCCCATCATGCTCAATTCAAACTCAGTTTGCATGAGATGTAAGAATTTCTTGCATAAAACAGGGTTATCACTTCCAAATATAATATCATCAACATAAATTTGAATAATGAGGTTTCTAGAAGATGATCTCTTGATAAAAAGAGTAGTGACAATCTTACCTCTCAAAAATCCACGACTAACCAAAAATGAGCTTAGTCTTTCATACCAGGCTTTAGGTGCTTGTCTTAGCACATAGAGAGCCTTAGTCAACTTAAACACATGTTAAGGAAACTACGAGTTTTCAAAACCGGGAGGTTGTTTAACATAAACCTCCTCATCAATGAAGCCATTTAAAAAAATACTTTTAGCACCCATTTGAAAAAAATTTAAACCTTTAAAAGAAGCATATGCTAATTAAATACGAATTGATTCTAACTGTGCTACCAGAGCGAATGTTTCATCATAGTCGATTCCTTCTTGTTGAGAGTAACCCTGAGCGACTAGCCTTGCTTTATTCCATATAACTTTACCTTCTTCATTCAGCTTGTTTCTGAATACCCATTTGGTTCCTATGATTGTTGTATTTGTTGGTTTGGGCACCAATGTCCCGACTTGATTTTTATCAAATTGATCAAGTTCTTCTTGCATTGCCTGAACCCAACTTGAGTCTTTCAAGGCTTCGTCAACTTTCTTTGGCTCTATTTGAGATATGAGTGTGATGTTGGCCTTTTTCTTTAAAGCTCCTCTTGTTTTCATTCCATCAGTTGAATTTCCAATGATGAACTTCTGAGGATATTTCGGTTCGCTTCTCCACTCATTTGGTATTGTTTTCATATGTTGATTAGTCGACTCGTTTTGAGGTTGATCGTGCTCATTTATGCCTTCATTAGTCGACTGTGGGATTTCAGTCGTTTTGTCAGCAGTTTCTTCTGAAGTCTTCTGTTCACTATTCTTTGGCTGGTTTTGGCTGATCTCTTCATCACCTGCAAAATCTCCTTTTTCGGCCATAGAGTTATTATTAAAAAAAAAATAACGTGAATTGATTTCTCTACACATAGGGTACGCTTATTATTGATTCTAAAAGATCTACTATTATTCGAGTGGCCCAAAAATATACCTCCATCACTCCTTGGATCAAACTTATCAAGATTGTCCTTGCCATTATTGTGGATAAAATATTTACTTTCAAAAGGATGAAAGTATCCAATATTGGATTTCTTACCTTTCCATAATTCGTATGGAGTTTTCTTCAAAATGGGTCAAACCAAACACATGTTGAGAATGTGACAAGTTGTGCTAACTGCTTCTGCCCAGAATTGATTTTGGAGAGAATGTTCTATTATCATGGTCTTGCCATATCTTGCAGAGTTCTATTATTACGTTCAACTACTCCATTTTGCTGTGGTGACCTTGGTGCTGAGAAATTATGAGTGTATCCTTGATCGTTGCAGAATTCTTCAATAATTCTGCTTTCAAATTCTCCTTTATGATCACTTTGAATAGTTGCTATAAGACGCCCATTTTCTCGTTCAACTCTTTTACATAAAATCTCAAATATTTTCAATGCCTCATCTTTATGAGATAAGAAAATCACCCATGTAAAGCGTGAGTAGTCATCAACAATAACGAAATCATATCGTTTTCCTATAATGCTTTCAGTTCTAGTAGGTCCAAACAGATCCATATGAAGCAATTGTAGAGGCTTGGAAATAGACACATTATTTTTTGAAAGCGTTTCTAGTTTGTTTACCAATTTGACATGCATCATATACATGATTTCTAGAAAAATTGAGCTTAGGAAGACCAATAACTAAGTCATGCTTGGAGAGCTTTTCAATAAGATGCATGCTTGCATGACTGAGTTTTTATGCCAGAGACATGGATCATCGGATGATGCTAAATAGATATGACTATCTAGATTTTCAATGCCATCAAGAATGTAAACGTTTCCATACCTTTTACCTGGAAGAATAATTTTACTTGTCTCATCTTCAATAGCACATCAGTTTTCTTAAAATTAACTTTGTACCCCGAATCACATAGTTGGCTAATACTTGGAAGATTGTAATTGACTCCATCCACTAGATATACTTCAGTAATATCGCAATTATTGCTGAATGGAACTGTGTCAGTACCAACTATATTTACTCTTGAATCATCTCCAAATTTGACATTTCCTCCATTTATTTTTGTAACTTATTTGAATAGATTCTTATCACCCGTCATGTGACTGGAACACGCATTGTCTAAATACCATTTTCCTTTACGACTTTTTCTGTGGTGTTCCTGCAAAATAAAATTATCACCTTATTTTAGATACCCAAGCTTGCTTGGGTCCTTGTTGGTTAGTATTACTTGAATCAGAATTAGTTTTGGGTTTCCAAATCTATCCTGAAACATTCGATTTACGAAATCTACAAAAAGAGTATTTATGACCAAATTTGTTACAGTAATGACACACATGGTTGATCCAGTTTTTGATCTCCCACTTGTGTTAGTACTTGTGGACTTAGTTCTAGTAAGTTCTTTTCCAGTTGACTTGTATGTCTCCTGGTTAGATTTGATAGAATTATGACTGGTGGACTTGCGCATGCCATTAAGTTGCATCTGCAATTCCTGAACTTCATCTTTAAGTACATCTCTTTTGATTTCACAGACTTCAAGTTTAATTTCTCATTCCTTCTTTTCTCTATTGAGTCTCCTTAGTTCATTCAATATTTTTTGAGACTCCTTTAGAGTAAGGTCAAGAATATCCTGCAATTTATTACATCTATCACAGTTATAGGATCTTACCTCGCTTGTTTCACCTCGTGCCATGAAACAATTTTCAGCATATTCTTTGCATTCATCCTCTGATGCATCTTCATCGGTCCACCATCCATAGTATATGTTCATGTTGTTTTCCAAAATGGTCATGAAGCACAGGTTTGTTATTTCTTTGTGCTCTGAGCTATCTTCATCACTCCAGCTTCCGAAGGATTTATTTTTATTGAATCCTCTGGAGACTTTTCTTTTAAGATCTGGGCATTCATTCATTGAATTGCTTGCTTTGCCTGGGTGGCATCCTTCCCCTTCTTGTGTTTCTATACCTTCTCATTAATCCATCTATGTTTCTTGATACCATGGCAATTTCTTCTTCAAGAGCTTATGGGTCATCATCAATATCATTTTCAAGTCATTTAATTGTAGCTTTGAAGGCAACTATTTTCTTCTTTTCTTCCTAGTTTGTTTTCTTGAGATAGGTCTTCTCGAATGCTATAAGATTTTCTCATAGTTCATCATATGAAAGTTTGTTTAGATCTTGAGATACGAGTGCGACTACTTTTGTCTGCTAAGTGGTAGGTAGATGCCTTAGAAGTTTTCGAACTTGATCACCACTTGAGTAGTGTTTACCAAAGGCTTTTATATAGCCAATGATTTTTTTGAACCTTGCAAACATTTCCTCGATGAAATCTCCTTCTTTCATCTAGAAGAGTTCATAATTATGGACCAACATGTTTATTCGAGTTTCTTTCACTTTGCTGGTTTCTTCATAAGGGACTTCCAGTTTGTCCCACATTTCTTTGGATGTATCACAACTTGAGATTTTCTTATACTCTTCTCCACTTATAGCATTATAGAGTAAATTCGTACCTTAGCATTGACCTGAACAACTTTCATTTGCTCGTCTATGTATTCATCTATATCTTCAGGATCAGCGGGTGGTTGAGATGCTGCTGGTAATGGATAGTTACCCCTTTTGATAACGCGCCATACTTTGACATCATAGGATTTTGTATATATTTCCATTCGCACTTTCTAGTGAGAAAAATCTTGTCCATTGAAATATGGTGGCCTGACTTGTGACGTTCCTTCTTGAAAGAGTGCTCCAACAATTACTTGATTTGCCATGATCTTTTCTCACAAGTTGTTAAGCAAAAAGTGTGAGACTAGCCCTGACACCAATTGAAAGTGCAAAATGATGGTGAATTAAAAACTATTCTTTCTTTTTCGAGGTAGTCGACGAACTTGTATTCTAGTCGACTGATATTTTCGAAACAAAGTATAAGAAAGAAAATTGTAGAAATTAAATGACACAGAGTATTTTTATACTGGTTCGGATTCAGGGTGAATCCTACGTCTAGTCCCCTTGGGTTGCAAGGGTAATCTCTTTCAAATATGAAGTGACTTAGTACATATGGGTTGATGTTGTTATACACCAACGGCTTTTTGATCACTTTGTTCTTCTCTATTATGATTGATACAATGCCTCATCAGTGATCTTTTCTCTCTCTCTATTCTCTTCTTAGTTACACAAGAAATCTATGATAGACTACCGTGCTTGTTTGAAGTAGGACAAATAGATTGATTTTGGTTTGATCAAAGTATATGAATCCCTGACGTCTTCTGTAGAATATATATGGTGAATTGGCTCTCATTCTTCACAGCGTGATAGTGAAATAATTGAGAAGCAACCCAAGGGAGTTGATTTTTGTGAATCAATCAAGATGATTTCATTTCAGAAATAGAATGGACTTTTCCTTTCGTTGCTTCCTTGATTTCCTTTTCCTTGTGGGTCGTTGGAAAGAATATTTTCAAAGTATCTTCTATACTGATTGATCGATGCCTTTCATAAATTATCCACGTGATTGATTGATGCATTTCATAAATGATCTACGTGATTGATCTTCTATATTGATTGATTGATCATCTTCTGCTGATTGATTTATACCTTCTGTTAATGGTTGATTTGAATATCCAGTTTCTATAGAACGTGCAGTTACATCTTGATTCTTGCCTCCTTGATTTTTGCTTCTAGATCTGTTGTTAGAGTCTTTTCCATTCTCATGACATCCTTTGGGATTGGTTTCCTACAAGTAGAATTAAGTTATTGTCTACATTAAAATCCAAATCTAACTATTTTCATATATTTCACGTCGTTTAGCATTCTTACCAGCAGTTCCTTAAGCAAGTGAGGGCGTTTGTTTGGTCATTGAGATCTATCGCTATGGGGTGTGGGTAGACCCTTCAAACAGGAGCAACAAATAACAAATTCAGACTGAAATCACACAAATTCATTCAGTTCTCAAGTTGGCTATATCAAATATTTCTAACTAAAAAATAAAAAAGACGCTAGGTTAGTCACAAATTCATTCAATTCTCAAGTTGGCTAGATCAAATATATTTAACTAAAAAATAAAAAAGACGCTTAGGTTAGTCACAAAGTTTCTAAATTTTAAATACACCACACTCTTGTTTAGAAACAATTTAAGAACATTGAACCTGTTAGCTAGGTTAATTGTTACTGTAGTATTCATTCATAATAAACCATTCGAAGTTATCTCCTACATCATTAACACTATCACGCCACTAAATTCTCTAATATTTATAGTCAAATGCATATCAACCTAAAAAGCATTAATTAGCAGCATGCATAAATACTTATTTCTCGTTGTTATCATGCAATTTATGAGAGTTTCAAACTTTAGAGTTGAGACTGATTCAAAATCTATTAGATAGATCTAACATTTTCAAATGCTCTAAACATATATAAATTCAGATGCTAATTATGCTAAAGAGCATTAGCAGTATCAATCACTTTCTCTTTTCCCGTGTGTGTCTCTCTCTTCTCTTTATTTCTCTTCCCTTGTTCAATTTCTCAAGCCCTATTCCAAATCAACCCTAGAGAACCCACCAAAAGTCAACCAGTTGGTTATGCTTTTAAAATATCAAATAGAAATCTTGAGTAATTGGATTCTTAAAATAGAAGCAAAATATAAACTTTTTCATAGATAGAAAAAAAAGGAGTCGAGCCTATTAGGATAGAGGAAGTACCTCTACAACTTATATTTCAATAATTGTACTTCAATTGGAAAAATCACATGGTACCCCATGTTGCGAGAGTAACAAAACTGCTCAATTCATGCTCAATTATTTATAGAAATATAATTTTAAGAAAAATATTAAACAAATAAGTAATAATAGTTTCTCCAAAAATTAAAAAAAGTATTGAACTTCTCCAATTACAGTTACATGCTCAACTAACTTGTGTTCTGACAACAATTTTCATTGGGGAACATTATCCCACCACAAATCCAGCAAACCTCAAATAAGACAAAATTAATTTGTCATTATGTCGTGGTTCACAACGAGAAAACAGAGTGACCAAGTAGGCATAAAGAGAAAATTAAACAAAGTAAGGAAGAAGATTCATAATAGTCAGAAGAGCGCAGGGCAAAGCATGGTGAGGAAAAGGATCGAAAATAGACATTATGAGGCAAAAGAAAACCCAAATGGTGGCCACCCTAACAAATGAGTGAAATCACCAGATTACCATATAAATAAAATGTAAGTTGTCATGTTTCTAGAATAAGAAAAATAGACAAGGAATTAAACATTGAAAAATATCTAGAAGACCTTTTTAAAAACACTTCATCAAATCCATAAGTAGAAGCATTTAGTTCTATTAGTTTCTGAAAATCAAAACAAAACCCTTTGTAGTCTATTAACGCAGGCATACAAATATAAAGGAGGAGATGAAAGACGAAGGCTAGAGTACTGACCTATCAGCAAGCGGAGACCAAATCGAAACAGAGAGCATGTTTTAAAATTTATTCTGCGGTAAACTATATGATATAACCCTTGAGGTTAAAGATCAAAGAATGCAGTTGCAGAGCTACACATCGCCAAAAGCAAGAGCGTGTTTAGCTTCCACATAAGTAACCAAAGAGACGAAGAGGCGCATGCCAATAGCGGAAGGTTTTAGTTTCCAATGCTACACTATGTAAAATATGATAAAAATAGTGTTGATGCAACATCAAAAGCCCAACAGGACAACGAAAAGGACTTTATCGGAAATTTGCGGAAGCAGGACGACGAAGAGTACCTTAAGGGTGGGTGCAAGGCGGACGATTTTAAAGCGGACCCGTGCCTAAACTCAAGATACAAAATAATTAAATTTAATTTAAAAAATAATTCGAGTTACATTCTCAAAGCTTCTTTGAAAAGTTCATAGTAATAAAATATACCAAGGCAAATCTGTTTTTAACTCAATCACTAAATACATACCACTCAATAAAAATTTAAGTTGTAGAAGTGATCAATTGAAGAAATAAAGCTAGCAATTTTTATGTGTCCACACTTCACTATTTCCAGAATACAACAGACTTGTGATCTGTTATCAAGTTAAAAGGTATAACAAAAATAATGCAACAGTTCCGATTTAGACATTTCTTTTTTAAACAAAGATTAACAACTTGTTCACAAAGATATTCATGCATTACTATAAACCATGATCTCTGCCCATAGAATCAAGATCGAAATATGTTTTTAATTGCTACCACCGAAATGGACAAGTAAACATCAAGATAATGTTAAAGCAGCAACAAAACATTTAAAATGTTATCAAGTTTACCAAGAAGGACGACCTACCATTCCCTCTTTCAATATTAGTATAAAAGTCATCATGCAAAACATGTTTGGTCAGTCTCATTTATACAATTTAGCCCTAATTTGTCATCGAAAGAAAACCATCAAACATTTGGTTAAATTAAGCTTAAATATTTTTGAGCAGGGTAGAGCAATTGGTTCCCCTCGACTTACTCGGGCTCAATTCTTCAGGGTCATTTTGGAGAAGTTTGTGCCCCACACCAGGAGAGAAGAGTTGTTTGAGCATCTTCAATAGTGTCAGATGTCATTTACTGATTATGAAATGAGGTTTACAAAGTTGTCTCGTCATGCTACTATTTTGATTCCCGAGGAGAAAAGAGTGAGGAGATTCATTGATGTTCTTCACCACAGTATTCGCCTTGCTATGGCTAGAGAGGTAGAAACTAGGACTTCATTTCATCAGGTTGTGGAAATAGCGCGTCATGTTGAGTGCTTCCGCAGCGAGACTATGAAGATGATGCACAATATGGACAAGAGGTCCCGACATTCGGGTAGTTTCATTGGTGCCTCAGCTGGAGGCTGAGGTCGATTTGGGAAAGGCCATTCTAGTAGGCCAACATATCATGCACCACCACCTAGTCGAGGAGCTCCCGTGCAGTCTTCATTCAGTGCACTTCTAATGCAGAGTTCTCATCGCGCTCCAGCTATTCAGAGTTCATTTGTACCAGGTTCTTCTAGTAGATATACTGGTTCACGGGATCGGATTTAGGCCCCTCAGTCAGTTCCGATAGAGGTTGCTATGAGTTTGGGAACTTGGGGCACGTCAGGAAATTCAGTCCCATCTTGTGTAGAGGTTCGTGGCAATAGGGAGATTAGACTATGACTGATGTGCCGATTTCTACACCACCCATTCAGCCAGCTCGGGTTGGAGGTCATCCAAGACGTGATTGTCCTATAGGGGAGATTAGTTTAGTGGAGGTTAGGTTAGATGTTATGCGTTTCCAGGAAGGACAGAGGTTGTTGCTTCTGATAGTGTAATTACAGGTATTGTTTTTGTGTGCCACAAAGATTCTTTGGTATTGTTTGATCCTAGCTCTACTTATTCATATGTGTCTTCATACTTTGCTTCTTGTCTGGATATGGCATGTGATTTTCTTGTTACCCCGGTTCATATATCCACACCAGTTGGGAATTCCATTATGGTGGATTGAGTTTATCGGTCATGTGTGGTCACTATGTGTGGTTTCAAGATCAGGGGGGATTTTCTATTATTAGATATGGTAGACTTTGATGTGATCTAGGGTATGGATTGTATATATCTGTACCATGCTATCCTTGATTTTCATGCGAAGACTGTGACATTGGCTATGCCGGGGTTGCCAAGGCTGGAATGGAGGGGTTCTCTTGGTTGTAGTCCTAGAAAAGTGATCTCATTTTTGAAGGCTTGATGGGTGGTTGAGAACGGATGTTTGGCGTACCTAGATTTTGTCAGAGATGTTAGTGCTAATACTACTACTATTTAGTCTGCTCTAGTAGTGAGGTAGTTTTCGGATGTGTTTCCTACAGACCTACCGTGCATGCCACCCGATAGGGATATTGATTTTTGTATTGATTTGGCACCGGGCACTCAAGTTATATCTATTCCCAATGTATTGCATGGCTCCAGCTAAGTAGAAGGAATTGAAGGAGCAGTTGCATGAGTTATTGGATAAGGGGTTCATCAGGCCTAGTGTATCACCTTGGGGTGCGCCGGTGTTGTTTGTTAAGAAGAATGATGGGTCCATGAGAATGTGTATTGACTATCCACAATTGAACATGGTTACCATCAAGAAGAAGTATCCATTCCCACGTATTGATGATTTATTTTACCAGCTTCCGGGTGCTAAGGTGTTCTCAAAGATATACTTGAGATCGGGGTATCACTAGTTGAAGATTAGGGCTTTAGACATTCCTAAAACGGCTTTCAAGACGCGTTATGATCATTATGAGTTTTTAGTGATGTCTTTTGGTTGACTAATGCTCCAACAACTTTCATGCATTTGATGAATAATGTGTCCCAGCCTTATTTGGACTATATTGTTATTGCATTCATTAATGATATTCTTGAATATTCCCGCAGTAAGGAGGAGCACGAGTAGCATTTGAGGATTGTGCTTCAGACATTGAGGGAGAAGAAGTTATATGCTAAGTTCTTGAAGTGTGAGTTTCGGTTTGACTCGGTGGAATTCTTGGGCCACGTGGTGTCTAGTAAAGGGATCAAGGTGGATCCGAAGATGATCGAGACAGTTTAAAGTTGGACTAGACCTTCTACCACTAAAGAGATTAAAATTTTCCTAGGGTTAGACGGTTACTATTGTAACTTTGTGGAAGGGTTTTCGTCTATCGCAGCTCCATTAACCAAGTTGACTCAAAAGGGTGCTCCATTAAGATGGTGTGATGAGAGCTTTTAGAAGCTCAAGGCTTCTTTGACTACAACTCTTGTTTTGGTATTTCCCTCATGATCGGGGATGTATACTATTTATTGTGATGATGCACGTGTTGGTCTTGGTTGTGTGTTGATGCAAGATAGTATGGTGATTTCCTATGCGTCACGCCAGTTGAATTCCCATGAGAAGAACTATCTGGTTCTTAATTTGGAGTTGGCAGATGTTGTTCATACGCTGAAGATTTTGAGACATTACTCGTATGGCATGTCTTGTGAGGTCTACACTGATTATCAGAGTCTTCAGCATTTGTTCGAGCACAAGAATTTAAATTTGAGGTGGCAGAGGTGGTTGGAGTTGTTGAAATATTATGATATCACTATATTGTATCACCAAGGGAAGGCGAATGTGGTAGCAGATGCGTTGAGTAGGAAGATGGAGAGCATGGGGATTTGGGCCAATATTCCTGCTATGGATCACCTTTGTCAATTGGATGTTCAGGCCTTGGCTAACTGATTTGTGAGATGTGATATTTTTTAGCCTAGAAGGATTCTCGATCTTTTCGTTGCGCAGTCGTCCTTGTTTGAGCGCATCAAGACTCGTCAGTATGATGATCCCCATCTTCTTGTCCTTAAGGACACGATGTTGTCTGGTGGTGCTATGGAAGTGGCTATTGGTGATTGATGTGTATTGCGGCTTCAGGTTCAGAGTTGTGTTCCTAATGTGAATGGTTTGAGAGAGTTGATTCTTGAGGAAGCTCATAGTTCGATGTATTCTATTCATCCATGTTCTACGAAAATGTATCATGACTTGAAGCAGCATTATTGGTGGCAAAGTATTAAGAAGGACATTGTTGGTTACGTTGCACGATGTTTGAATTGTCAGTAGGCCAAGTATGAGCATCAGAGACCAGATGGTTTGCTTTGGAGGTCAGATATACCAGAATAGAAGTGGGAGTGCATTACTATGGACTTTGTGGTTGAATTTCCATAGACATTGAGGATATTTGACGTTGTTTAGGTCATTGTGGACTAACTGACCTTGTATGCACATTTCATTCCAGTCATGGCTTCATACACTTTGGAGCAGTTGGCTAAAATCTACATCAGAGAGTTGCATGGTTTGCATATGTCTATCATCTAGGATAGAGGCACTCACTTTACTTTGCACTTTTGGAGAGCCGTTCAGTGTGAATTGGGCATCAAGTTGAGCTGAGCACTATATTTCACCCTCAAACTGATGGACAGTCCGAGCGGACCATCCAGATTTTGGAGGATACGTTGAGGGCCTGTGTTATTGATTTCGGAGGCCAGTAGTATTAGTTTCTACCATTAATGGATTTGCATACAACAACAATCATTCTAGTATCCAGATGGCTCCATATGAGGGATTATACGAGAGGCGATGTCATTCTCTGATTGGTTTGTTTGAGCCTGGGGAGGCTAGGTTGTTGGGCACAAATTTGGTTCGTGATGCTTTGGGGAAGGTGAAATTGATACTTTAGTGGCTTCGTACAGCACAATCCAGGCCACAGGGTAATGTTGATAGGAAGGCTCGTGATGTGGTTTTCATGTAGGGTGAGAAGGTTCTTCTTTGAGTTTCGCATATGAAAAGCGTGATGAGATTTGGGAGGAAGGGCAAGTTAAGCCCTCGTTGTATTGGTCCATTTTAGGTCTTAGGAAGAGTTGGTTAGGTTGCTTATATACTCGCTTTGCCACCCAACTTGTCAGAAGTTCATCTGATGTTTCATGTTTCCATGCTTCAGAAGTATTATTAGGATCAGTCACATGTGTTGGATTTCAGTATAGTGCAGTTGGATAAAAACTTACCTTATGAAGAAGAGCCCGTGGACATTTTGGATAGGCAAGCTTGGAACTTGAGATCTAAAGATTGCATCAGTGAAGGTTCAATGGAGAGGTCAACCGGTCGAGAAGATGTCTTCCGAGACCGAGCATGATATGCATAGCAAATATCCTCATCTTTTTGACATCCCAGGTATGTTTCTAAACCCGTTTGAGGATGAACATTCGTTTAAGAAGTGGAGAATGTAACGACCTGGCCAATTATTTACTGTATTTGAGTCCCATTTCTCTATTTAATGCTTCCCGTATGTTTGCTTGTTGTTTTGTAACTTGCGGAGATGGTTGGTTTGGTTTCGGAAAAGTTTGAGAGTGAATTGGAACACTTAGTTCTATTTTTGGAAGCTTAAGTTGTAAGAGTTGATCAATGTTTGACTTACGAGTAGATGATTGCGGATTGGTGTTTTGATGGTTCAATTTAGTTGATATGATGATTTTGGACTTAGGCGTATGTCTGGATTTAGATTTGGAGGTTTCTAGGATGTTTTAGCCTAGATTGACTTTGTTGACCTTTTAAGATTTAATTAAAGGTTGAAGATTTATTGTTTGGGGTTGAATCTATAGCTTGTACTGACTAATTTAAGTAATATTTGGCTAGATTCGAGTCATTTGGTGGTGGATTTGAAAGGAAAAGCAGTTTTGGAAGGTTGAAGGTCATCCAGGGTGGAGGTAAGTCTCTTGTCTATCCTTGTTAGAGGAAATTCTCTCGATAGGTGATCTATTTGCTACTTGTTGCTTGATTTGGGAACTACGTATATGCGAGGTGACGAGCGTATATGCATTAGCTAGATTATGATCATGCATGGGTAAAATTAGGCTTACAGTATGCCTTACTTGGATTGTGTTAATTATTGATTTGTGTTTTCGTTGATTTTATGACCACGTGATGAGTCTTAACTATGATTAGACGCAATGATTTAGAGTCACGACCCAAAATCCCATCGGAGTCGTGATGGTGCCTAATAGCGTTTACTAGGCAAGCCAACAATAACATATGTAGAAATAAACATCAATAACAGTAAGAAAATAGTCTCAATAGTGGAATATCATAAATAACTGAAATCAACGACTATACAACTGAAAACCATCCCAAAATCTAGAGTCATCGAGTGCATGAGCTTTATAGAGAATAATTAAAAAGTCTGAACAAAATCCAGAATTGTCTAAAAGACTAAATAGTAGTAATAATGAGATAAGGGAACAGACTTCAAGGCCTACGAATGGGGACAACAGTGCTACCTCGAAATCTCCGTGCAGATACAAATAACAGCTCTCTAGCAATCACTGCTATCGGCAACACCTAGATCTGCACATAAAGTGTAGAGTAGCCCAGCAGGACAACGAAAAGGACTTATTCGTAAATTTGCGGAAGCAGGACGACGAAGAGGCCCTTAAGGGTAGGGCGGACGATTTTAAAGCGGACCCGCGCCTAAACTCAAGATACAAAATTACTAAATTTAATTTTAAAAATAATTCAAGTTACATTCTCAAGGCTTCTTTGAAAAGTTCATAGCAATAAAATATGCCAAAGGCAAATCTGTTTTTAACTCAATCACTAAATAAATACCACTCAATAAAAATTTAAGTTGCAGAACTAATCAATTGAAGAAATAAAGGTAGCAATTTTTATGTGTCCACACTTCACTGTTTCCGGAATAAAGCAGACTTGTGATCTGTTATCAAGTAAAAAAGTATAAAAAAAATAATGCAGCAATTTCGATTTAGATATTCCTTTTTTAAACAAAGATTAACAACTTGTTAACAAAGATATTCATGCATCACTATAAACCATGATCTCTCCCCATAGAATCAGGATCGAAATATGTTTCTAATTGCAGCTTCCGAAATGGACAAGTAAACATCAAGATAAAGTTAAAGCAGCAACAAAACATTTAAAATGTTATTAAGTTTACCAAGAAGGACGGCCTACCGCTCCCTCTTTCAATATTAGTATAAAAGTCATCATGCAAAACATGTTTGGTCAGTCTCATTTATACAATTTAACCCTAATTTGTCATCGAAAGAAAACCAGCAAACATTTGGTTAAATTAAGCTTAAATTTTTATTTTTTTTAGAAAGATTAAATTAAGCTTAATTCGCAAACAGCAAATCTCCATCTCTAAACTCATCGATCAGCTATTTGATTACTGAGCATGAGAGATTATATTCAGCTAGAGAGTCAATAAAATGAATAGCAGGATCACCAAAAAAAATGATAAAGGGAAAAAGATAAATAAAGTAAGTATTCCATTTCTACTAAGTTTTGTAGGTTGGACAAATACTAACTTGTTCGTTATATTAGCAACCAACAGTCATAAGTTTCATCCTTTGCGGGTAATAGTCAATGTTGACGGAGAGTCCGAGAGATGAAGGGGGTTGAGCACGATGTCAAGCTAAATGAACTCTCTTATAGCGCAAAAACACCAGTCCCAGTTGTTTGGTCAATTTCTTAACCTGAGAACGACTGCCCCTTTGCAATAGCTTATTTGAAATTCATGCTTTCGTACCTGTAATGAGATATCCTGAGGACAAATGGCGCACGATTCAAAACTCGGTGGAGTAATAGGATAACTCCACACCATTCTCCACCTAGAACTTTTTGGTAAGTGTACTATATTTAACTGACGAATTTTAGAAGGTAAGAAGGTAGCCCAATGAGAATAAGTTCTCTAAGCTACATACAAAATTCTAGCTAACCATCCAAGAAATATTGGAATTCCAAGATTATTAACTAAATAAACTGCAACGAAGGAAAAAAAACCAATTAGTTCGCACAACTTCGTGAAAACTTGTAAGGGTTCGCAATAAATATCTTAGAAACACGTAGATACCCTTTGAAATTTGATCTGAAATGACCCACAATGGTCAAAAGTTAGGAAAGAAACTATTTTTAATCCAGGAAAGAATTAGAAATATTTCGTTTTCTTATAATGCGGATATTTTCCTTGGAGGCTAGAAAGAAATTAAATCCCTAACCAATATCAGCAAACAAAGATCTCTGGCAAAAAAATGGGAGAAAATAAATGGGAACATTTAGGAAAATACTCCATGAAGAAACAAGTTTTAGCTCGTTACACTGAAGCCACTTTATTGATTCTTCACCTTCAACAACGAATTTCATTCCACATTAAATTATTTTAAGGACGTCAAATGAAAAAAATGAGAAGCAAAACTATGAAAGTTAAACATTTGGATTAAACTCTTTTATAGAGTTCTGACCCCTCAAAATGTGCTTCCAGAAGTAAGATTCGTCCAATCCAAAGTGTTAGTTGGTCATGTAATTATCAACTGAGTACTTTATCCCAATCACTCTTTAATATTTCAGCAGAATACAGTCAGGTAATATCTAGTTGCAATTTGCACTACCTGGTAACAATTTCTCTCAGATTGTTTCTAAACTAAACTCACTTCTAGTGGTTTTGAACTTTTTCTCTTACGGATAAACATCACAATTAGAACTCATTCATACTCGTCATCTATTTCAGTTCTCCTATGTACTGGTTGATGCTAATAGTAGGTCAGTTAGTCCATACAATGACAACACTAATAGGGTTACATAATGAGGGAATATCTGGCCAAAAGTTTATACTCAAGTTTATACTCCAGTAATTTTATAATGAAAAAATAGGAAGAGAACTTCAGAAGATATTCAAATAAAATACCTGAACTGGTGATTCTTTATGCGAATAAGCCATCCTTGAGCTGTCCAAGCACTATGTGCAGTTTCTTTGGCAAGAAAGAACAATAAATACACTACTGAAAAATGACCGTGTACGCTTCTATTTGGTAGGAATTCTTACATAGGTAGCCTCTAAATACCTCTTTCCTTCAGCCCCCCAATATCCAATTAGTTGATGAGATTTGGGTGATCTACCAGTTGTTAATGACTCTACAGAATAATTAGAGATCAATACGACACTACAGGTTTCCATAACATACAACTTATATTGTTTAGCTTGTCAAACATAAAACTCGTGATTTAACTTCACAAGCATACACTAAATATCTAGAGAAGCGTCATGTGTCACTTATAACTTGTTGCAAAGTAAATACTGAAAACCAGAATGTTCAATCAATGAGAAGAAAAGTGGAATAAAGTGCCAATATCGTCATGGCGTCAGTCAAAAGTCGGCCATGACAATATTGAGTACAACCTAGTTGCTAAAATATCACTGACAGAGCATACCAAAATTGCCTCAGTGGCCTCCAACTCTATGCAAAGCAAAAAAACACCATCCACACCTTCTCCACTGTCTTTGGCCTCCCGATCAAGAATTTTGCCACTATTGCATCACATACTTCTTTCACATATCTACTACTTATTCAAATGAAGCAAAATAAAATTAAAACTAAATGAACTAAAGCATTACCTCCCAGCCTCAACATCAATATTTCAAGTAACAAATGAAGACATCGAGAGCCTTCTCCTGAACTGGTGCAGTTGTATCTGCTAGTCTTCCTACAAGATGGCCCTAAAAATTTCCTAAATAAAAAAAGTCTATCAACAAATACGATCACACTACACCAACATATAGATTGTCATAATGGAGATTTTAAACAAAGTAAACCAGATCTAATGGAATAACATCCTAACTGAAGTAAGTACTCACCGAATTCACTTAGGCACGGGTCCATGGGATTAACAATGAAATCGTAGATCGCGGCAAGGTCACGTTTAACGTCATCTCAAACCTTCCAATTTTTGTGACTTAATTGCTCATCCGTTGCACTTTATTTCCTTCTTTCAAAAACTTCTCGTCTTCCGATATTGTAATATTTTTGGTGCATCTAAATTTGATATTATAAAGATTCAATTTCCCCCACTTTTCCACCTACAACTTCCTGTATGTTCTTATTTTGCAAAATCAAGTTTAGGGTTCAATTTTTGTAAGGTAAGTTTGACTAAAACTTTAAGCTTGAGCCATCTATTTGTTGGCTCGACATGGAATTTGCTCCTTTTTTTAATAAGTTTTTATGACTTTTTTTCATTAACTTTAGAAGAAAACTATTTTCACTTAATGGGTTCATATTTCATGCACATAGAGGCCTTTCATATTAACAGCATTATGCAAGTTACACTCTCCGGTGGCTGCTATTTACTTGTGAACAGGATCAAAGAAATTTGAAAGTGATGTACAAGCTACCATGGCTCAAACGAAGAGGATTAGTTAAATCTTGAAATTATTGGTCCGTTTGTTCTTCTAAGTTTTTTTATGCTATTTGTGTGATTGATGACCTTTTCATTATCTCTACCATATAGCAATATTGTTCCGTGATATCTAACTCAGACAAAAAATCATATGGCATTCAAATTCTCGATTACCAATTCACTTGTAAATGCCCACAAGAAAAACCCTTTTCTACCAAGAAAAATGAGCTTTTTAATTCTTCTACAACACATAATAATTAACATTGAGGTATCAAAGCAAATACTTTAAGCAAACTGCGAATCAACTTGGCTTATTTTACGGTGAGGAAAAGCCCAAAACCATACATGATCTTTGGCTTTAGACTCAAACTCATACATATTCTTTCACATGGAGTACTAATAGTACATTTACTTTAACAAAGTGGTGCACTTTTAGTCATAACACTGAGAAAAAGCCCAAAAACATACATTATCTTTGGCTTTAGACTCAAAGTCATACATATTCTTCCACATGGAGCACTAATAGTCCATTTACTTTAACAAAGTGGTGCACTTTTAGTCATAACACTGAGAAAAAGCCCAAAAACATACATTATCTTTGGCTTTAGACTCAAAGTCATACATATTCTTCCACATGGAGCACTAATAGTCCATTTACTTTAACAAAGTGGTGCACTTTTAGTCATAACACTAAGCACATTTTAATTTTTAACAGAAATCTAAGATGTGACAAAATATATGTTCCCTTTATTTTCTTGTTTACCGAAAGAAATAAAGATGACAGATTTATCTAGATAGCAAATAGTAAATATGCATAGAATTTATTTACTATTTATCTATTTACTATACGTAAAATATACATTTTGCTAAGAAATGTTAAACACCGTTAATTTTTATTTGCAGTGATTTTTATCTAGATAACCTCAAATGTTATCTAGATTTTTTATTATATACATAATATTTACTATACGTTGACATAAAATAAATATACGTAAAATCATTGCTGAGAATAAATAAATATTTGCTATACGTTGACATAAAATAAATATATATTTATTAGATTTTTTTATTTTATGGAAGTCAACGTATAGTAAATATACATAAAATAAAAATAAATATTATGTATATAATAAAAAATCTAGATAACATTTGAGGTTATCTAGATAAAAATCATTGCAAATAAAAATTAACGGTGTTTAATATTTCTTAGTAAAATATTTACGTATAGTAAATAGATAAATAGTAAATAAATTCTATGTATATTTACTTTTTGCTATCTAGATAAATCTGTCATCTTTATTTCTTTCGGTAACAAGAAAATAAAGGGAACATATATTTTGTCAGATCTTAGATTTCTGTTAAAAATTAAAATGTGTTTAGTGTTATGACTAAAAGTGTACCAACTTGTTAAAGTAAATGGACTATTAGTGCTCCACGTGGAAGAATATGTATGACTTTGAGTCTAAAGCCAAAAATAATATATGTTTTGGGGATTTTTCTCAGTGTTATGACTAAAAGTGCACCATTTTATTAAAGTAAATGTACTATTAGTGCTCCACGTAAAAGAATATGTATGCCTTTGAGTCTAAACCCAAAGATCATGTATGATTTTGGGGTTTTCCTCTTTTACGATACTCGGAATATAATTGTTAAACAGAACTTGTCAACTTACAGAGGTGTCTTTTCGAAAGGAAAAAAGAGACACACAGAACTAATCAACAAGAACTAAGATGGTGCCGCTATTTCAGAGAGAAAATAGAAATAGAGAAGGAGAAAAACGAAATCTGAAAGGAAAACGAAAAGGACTCACAGTCGAGTTGTTGGGCGCCGTCCGCCAGTATGGAAGGAAAGGCATTTGAGCCAGCTGGTTCTCAGTAGAACCAAGGATTTTCAAAGTCTCAGAAGACCTATGTTCTTCACTTCTTCGTCAACTATGGCGATGGAATTGAGAGAGATATTCGTGATAAAAAGAGAGATGGAAACAAACAAACTCTATAACAATGAACTCAACCCAAAATACACAATTTTAATTCGAAACCTAAAAGGAAGAAAACGAAGAGGAGCAAACAGACATCTTTTTTTTTTGTTAAACAAACAGAGATCTCTAGTCTAGCAAGAGGAGAGCGGGAAGATTGAAGAATTTGCACAGCACGTGTTTGAAGCAAAGTACACCGTAAAAATTTTCATCCATACAAAATCGTACACTTAAAAGCACAAAAATAGAGGTTTTGTCAATATTGTCCTTTTCTTTGAACGTATGTCTATTTTGGTTTCTTAAATATAGCCATGAATATATTTAGTCCCTTAAATATGTTAAAGTGGAGCACATTTAGTCTCACTGACATAATATGTTAAAAAATTAACGATGTTATCCAACTATGATTCATAAAGCAAATCTTCTGCTTCNATATATATATATATATATATACACACACACACACACACACACTGTATATGTTAATATACAAAAATTATACAAATTTTATATACTTTTTTCACTACCATATGTAAATAGTTTCTGGCACGGGGTAAAAGTGATAATACAACTTGGTTATTCGTTTACTTCAATAATATGCCTAGTAGTGATCCTGACACTTCTATTTTTTTCAAATTTTAACTTTTCTTTTTGGAAAAATCAACCGAAATTTTTATTTATATATATATACAAATTTTATATATTTTTTCGACTATTATTTTTACAGCAGCTATATAGTATTATTTTCTTATTGAAAACTGGCATAGAAAGGGATATTTTCAAGGTCAAAATTTTAGAAGACATTATCTAAAAATGAGGAATTAAAGTGATAATTTGTGTTATCCAATAAAAGGAGAGGAAATGTTTTGATTCAGAGCAGAAGATTTACTTCATGAATCAGAGTTGGGTAACACCGTTAGTTTTTGAACATATTGTGTCAGTGAGACTAAAAGTGCTGCACTTTAGCATACCTAAGGGACTAAAATAGACATACCCTCAAAAATAAGGGACAATATTGGTCAAAAACTCCACAAGAGCACACATTTCCAATATTAACCCTGTGTGGACAGGCAGGACGACGAAGTCCTGCTTACTGACGCTTCTAAATAGTAAGGGTGAATGACACAGTTATCCACAAAAATAAAACTATTTACCTTTACCTATCCATTTATTTTTCTACCCATCAAACTAATTATATTTCCTGCCCATAGTAATTTTTATGAAAAATTTTCTCTTTTTTCTCCAATTCTTTTTTATTTCTATGCTTCTTTTCTTTTTTCCTTTTCTTCTTTCTTTTCTCCTTTTCTTTTTTCTCGTTTTCTTCTTATTTTTAGTCAAAATTTTCAAAGAACTTATTGGTGCATATATCAAAAGTGTTAAAGAGAAACTACCCGGTATGTCCGCTCATAAGTAAATTAGTATAAAAATTAGCTAATTCATAAATTATTGTCACTATTAGCCAAATACTACAAATATTAGCCAATTAGTTATTTGTAGCCAACAAAAGGTTAAAGTTTTACTTTCTTTTGAGTGGGTGTTGTTGGAATAGATTGGGTACATCTTAAGAAATTTTAATCTTAGTTTTGGGATGATTTGGTGGGGTTTTGAGGTGGTTTGAATTAAAAATTCAAGGTAAAAGATGAACATAAAAAAAGATAATATGTGTATTACACTTTGTATCATTTGTGTATCACATATGTATCATATGTGTATCAATGTGTATCACATGTATGTCCATGTATACCTGCGCGTGTGATACATGTGTCGCAGAAGATTTTCTAAACTGATTTAACTATGTTCGATACCAAACCAGTCCAAATCACCTCCAATCTTGCTTAAACTTTGTGTGTTAACTCATCTATATGTTTTCAATGATTTCAACCATACACATTGGAAGAAGAAAAAAAACTTTTTTGCCTATTTTTTATAATATTGTATATCAGTGGTAATGAATTTTGACTCCAAACTAGTCTAATTCACTTCCAAGTTTATATAATGTCTCGTCTATGTGTTTTCAACTAATCGCAATAATATCCATTAAAAAATCTTTTTTTGCCTATGTTTTTTAATGTTGTATATTATTGGTAATATTTTTGGTTATTTTTGTTAGCATGACTAAAAATGCCTAGTTGTTGGTAAAAGATATCTTTTTTTGATACATTTCTATAAGATTCCCCTCTTTAAATTCTTATACTTGTACTCTCCCCCCGCTCCAGTTTATGTAAACCTATTATTTTTTTTAATCTGTTTCGAGAAGAATGATTGGTTTCTAAATTTGAAAACAATTTAATTTCAACTTCCCATTTTACTCTTTGTGAAAAGCTTTTACAGCTACAAATGTTATACCATATTTAAAACTACAAGTTTCAAAAATCTTGTTGCCTATGGCATATTTAAGACCATAAAATCTTTATTTTTTCTTAAACTCCGTATCCAATTATATGATTTCACATAAATTGAAACATAATTTCCTATTGAAACATAATTTCCTAGTATCTCCACTGGCTAGAGACTACCAACTTTGCGTCTTCTCACGCTCTCTTTTCTTCTTTTTTTTCTTTTCTTTTGGAGCCATCAGACCTTCACCTTCCTAAAGGCTGCCTAAAGGATCCCATTTAGTGTTTGAAATTCTCCATAATAAAAATAATACTATGTTCTTATCTTCAGCTTTACCTTAGGTTGACCCCTGAAAATAAGCATGCGTTAGACTCTTTCCATGCATTTGTACAAAAACTTTAACAGGAATAATTAGGTGCTTCGATTGCACTATCAGGTAATCCAAACCATGCTTCTGTTGGGAAAAAGTTAGTGATGATTGGTACATTTTTTTGGATTTGTCAGTATCTTATATCTAGATACAAGATTCATATAAACTGTCCTTGTAATTAAGAATATATATCCTTGTAATTAAGGAGAAGGGAACCTTAGCGTAACCGGTAAAGTTGATGTCATGTGATCAGGAGATCACGAGTTCAAGCTGTGGAAACAGCCTCTTGCAAAAATGCAGGGTAAGGTTGCGTACAACAGACCCTTATGATCCGACCCTTCCCGAACCATGCGCATAACGGGAGCTTAGTGCACTGGGCTGACTATCCAAAAACACACATTAGTCTGACAAATCTTAGAATCAGAAAATACAGTCAATGACTCAACTGTAACATTTCTGCTTATACTCGACCAAACTAAAAGCGATGGATCGCATTATAGAGGGGATTGCATACTAGAGGCTCTTTCACAACAAAGAAAAAGAATAACCACCAATAAGTCCAACAACATTTCTCGTAAAGATGGAATACTACAAAATGTTCTTCATAAAACTATTGGAGACATGGCAAGTTGTATGCAGCAGCTCCATAATCTAAGCAGCTCCATAANAAAAACCTCCCGGCCCTCTATAGATATAGATATGCATATATATATATGTATGGTATATTGGAAACAAGACTCCTCGATAGCTAAATTTAGACTGACGGTTCAGCAGAGGATATCAAGGAATAGACGACTAGTTACCATCGTCCCATTGGAATTGATTCTTAAGGCTTGGCAAACACTTCAATGCATTCTGCACTAATTTTGCCTGAATGGCGACCACCCAACTTCCCGAATGAGGCTAAGGGTGACAAAACTCTCAAGCTGTTACTGCTGCTGCTGCTGCCACCTTCAGTAAGACTGAAAGATGTTCTTGATTTTCTTGGCC